ATAATCATAAACATTCTGTGTTTGTGAAACAGTCATTCATGTTTTGAACTTTCACAGTTTCACACGTGATCATTGTCCCTGTAAGGACTGCAGCGCTCTCTTGTGGTCAAATGTATGAACTGTAGTTCATTGTAGTGTGTAGTCAGACTGAAGACTTTTAAATTCAGAATTAAAAAAAACAAACATGTTAGTTCTTCTGTCCAAGTGTTTCCGAACAGTTTGGTTTGAATTAGTTGATGATGAGGTTTTAAAAAAAGATTATAACCAACGACGAGCTGATTTAGAAACCACACAAAGAAAAGATGACGAGGAAAGTGAGATCATCACATTCTGTCCAAAGGACACTCGAGACTTTACTGAATCAAACCAAACTCAATTTGTCATTGACCTGAATCCATCAGACAGTGAAGTGAGTCTACAGCCGTCTTCAGTGAGACAACACTGTCTTTAACTCTGCCGTCCACACACACTTGTCCCTGGTGGACTAGTGGACAGGATTCTGTGCTCTGCACAACACTCATTACATTTATATATGCAGAGTTTAGTGTGTCTGCTGTAGTTCATGGTAATAAAACACGATGTATTAAATACAGAATCATCATGTGCCTCTTGTGTCTGACAGTGTTCACAGGTCCATCATGTCTCTGTACCGTTAATACATGGATCATATATGTTGTCATTTAGCTCTAAATCAAACTGAACTATGCTTTTGTTGTTCTGTGAAGGTAAATACAGGATAAGACCCAGAAATATGGTTTCAGAGAAAGTGTTATTAGTTTAAATATCAGAGTTTGAATGAAGATACAGAAGATGAAACCTAAGAGTGTAAAACAAACATTCAAATAAATCATTTGTCAATAACCCAAGTGAATTCTGGGTTAATATCAAGAAGAGATTTTAATTATTGACAGCAGAACAGGTTGTCATTTAAAGGAATGCTTTATTGATATCCAAACATATACAACAAAACCATAAACTGATTTTAATCATAAGCTTCCAAATCTGATCCCTTATAATAATCCACGTCAGCTGGAACTAAATAAAGCTATGATTATATTCTACAGTCGTCCAGCGTCGGCTCCACCTGCTGCACTTCCCATTGGCACCAAAACAAAAAGTACATGATCCTTTTCTATCCAGAGTCCCACGGCTGATTTACAGGTTATATTCCCAAAGGTCGTTTCATTTGCAATTCACACTTTACATCTATTTTAAATGAGATTTTTTTTGGAGTGAAAGTTAAAATAAATGTCTTTAGATATAAACGTCTCGTAGTGAGCGTCTGCGTTCTCACGTTGGCAAAGCAGAAAGTCAGAGAAAAGTTTAAACATTTGCTTTTAACTGATAGTAACTGAATTATACACGTGATCGTCCTCCTGAATCCACGACCACAGAGAGAAAAAGAAGCTTTGCTCGAACTAACAGAAAAATATCAACGGACAAAACAAGAAAATACACAAATGATCGAATCTGCAGCAGATTGACGGGAAGTTGTTTTTTTATTTCGCCTCTTCTTTTTCTACAAGCTTAAATCTTCCTGGGAAATTTAGTCTTTAATAACGGAAATATTGACGTCTTCATTATTTATTCATTTGTATTTCAGTTTCTACTTGAATCAAACGAGTATACGAGAGCAGCGCTGAATGTTTGAGGCCATTTTCAAACCTCTAATATTTAATGTCACAGTGACTCCAGAAGGAACTGTCTTTTCTTTCCGGATCATCAAACCGGTCAACACATTTAAAAGGTTCACCAGGAACCGAGCGCACGTTATTTATCAATGAACCTTAGAATCAAGCGGATCAACTCTTGGTTCCACGTCGGTTCTGTCAGCTAATGTTTGTCTGAGGACATCGTGTTCACTTTGACCTGAACGGTTTAAATCTATGGCTCGAGTTCAAATCTTCCAGGGAAGTTTTGGCTTCGAACAGCTCGTTATGGATGATGTCACTTCCTGAAGCACAAGTCGACTCGTGACACTTTGACACCGAATTTTGGCAAAAATGAAAAAAACACTGAGCAACATTTGGAGAGTTGAGGTTTTTTCTTCCTCCAGATGCTGAGATCACACGTGCATCACGAGCCTGCGGCTGCAGGAGCAGGGCGCTGCGCGTGGTTTGGGAGGTTTCACCACTAGAGGCAGTGTTGCACGTGTATCAGAGATCTTTGTGCCAGAAAAAACCAAAACACTAGAAAACTACTTTCTCCTCTTTTTCCACATTCAAGAGAAACGACTCAGGTTCCAGAGACGACTGAGAGAGAGTGTGTGTGTGTGTGTGAGAGTGTGTGTGTGTGAGTGAGTGTGTGTGTGTGTGTGTGTGTGTGTGTGTGTGTGTGTGTGTGTGTGTTGGGGCGTGCAGGTCAACAACAATAAGAGCAACTGTGACTTTGTGTTTGTTTCGGCCTCGTGCAGCGTGTGTGCACCATCAGGACATTTAGTGTGTTAACAGAAGTGCGTGTGTGCGTTGAGGGGTCGTTGGCAAAGCTTCGGTGACGGCAGCTGGACGTTTGTGACGTTGAGCCGTCAGACTCTCAACATCTTGATGCTAACTCCCCTTCCTTCAATCCAACCGGTCCGTGCGACAAAAACTAATTAGTACGAAACAAAAGGACTCGGTGTTCTACCAGCGACAGAACGGGCGAAGCGTTTAACGTGAGTCAGGCCGAGAGACAAGCGGCGATAGCGTTACACAGCAAAGCATCGTCTCACGTCGTCAGCAGAGGGAGGAGCCACAGAACTTAGACGCTGCTTCTCGCCCAGACGCCTACAACTCCACCGGAATGAGTCCGTTTCACAAACATGACGTTTCCGGGACATGAGCAGGAGAAACTGTCCGTGTCTGTGAAACTGAAACATTCTTCTCCCTTCAGACGTGATGAGCTCCGTCCCGCAGCATCGCTGACAATAGATTTATTCAGATATATTTATACATATTGATAAAAGTTATGTAAAAACATTATGCAAAGCAGTGTAAAATAGTTTATAATACAAAATGGTTTACGGTTTTATTTTTTCTGGGGGTTTTTATTTTTACAGAAGACCTCGGTCGTCTTTGCATGGTTGTCATGGTTCAACTGAGATGAGATGTGCACATGCATGTAGCAGGAGTAGCTCCGCCCCCAACCCCCCCGCCCCAGTCATACCACTGACCTCTGACCTGTGAGTGAAACTGGGGACGAGGTGGGGAGAAGGTGACGCTCACTGAAGTAGTCAGAGAGAAAGTTGACGGAAATATTCGATTAAGTAGTGAATCAATGATTTTCTCCTCCTCCTCCCTCAGTCTGCAGATTTCCTGCTCCCTAAACAAACACCACCTCCTGCAGGAGATTCAAGTCAAATGTGATGAATTCAATTCGACCAAATCGTGACAAACGAGCTGTGAACTGGATTTGGGGAACTTGAAGTCCGGGGACACTGAGTGTTTCTAAAACAGCTCGAGGCCAAAATGAAAAATGAATTTAGTTTAGATTTGAGCCCGAATGAGAACGTGAGGATCTGAGGGAGGAGGAGGCGATGTGACCACAGGCGACGAGTTTGTAAATGATTCAGGTTTAGAGATCAACAGCGAGGCAGAGGAGTAAAGGTTGACCTCCCACCTCAAATTCACAAGTCCGTCGCATCGGCCTGTCGGCGTTTAGGGGCACGTGAGCGGAGGTGAGGCGGCGAGGCGGAGGGTCAAAGGTCAGGGCTGACCCATGTGAGGTGACAACAGTACAGTCTCAGGTCATGAAGGAAGGTGGCAGTTAGGAGTGGGAGGAGGAACAGGAAGTGGAAGAGGCGGCGTGCGTTCAGAAAGGAGGATTCTCCTGAGTGGGGGTGGTGTCGGTGGGGGAGCCGACGGCGTCTCCGTTTCCTCTGGGGCCGACGACCTTATACTGCAGAGACAGAGTAGAGTCTCATTACTGTTCCTGTTTGAAATGGAAACAAGTTTAAAAACATCGCTTCAGTGTTCAAACTTCATTTCTCACTTTTTTACAAAAACATATTCATCAATAATAACAAAGAGTTAATGTGAAGCTGAGGAAGAGCCGCTGCTTCATGGAGCCTGAGCTGAGATAAACTGAAGAAAAGGCTTCTTATAACATCATCTTCATCATCTACTTTGTATTTAAATGGAATAAAATCAAATAACTAAAGGATGAATTCTGTCACAACAGAAATCTCAGATGTTTAACAGAATATTTCTTCCACAGAAGTTTTTCATTTTCACATTTTTCTCGATTTCTTTTAGAAAATCTGCCAGAAAATGAATCGAAACCTTTTTGACCCTGAAGAAACGACTCAGCTCTGATAAATAAACCTGATGAACTCGTTCAGGAGCTGATCAGTGAATTCTCGAGTCTAACTCACCTTCAGGTTTCCCATTTTATCCTCAAAGGACTTGAAGGTCGCAGAATTCCTGCAGAACAGACACAATTACATTCATGACAACTTCACACGGAAACCAGACACAGAAAACAACAGTTTGCTTTTTCAAACCTTCTACTTGTGACTTCAATAAACTTAACACCAAACATCAAATCTAATTCTATTTGTACAGCCCACATATCGTTATAAGTATAAATAATACAGGCTTCATCAGTGTGTTTCTCTAGACGTGGTTGATTCGTGTTCACAGAATCTGAGCCCGGCTCATTAAGAGACACTGAACCAGACAATCTGAGCCAAACTAATGTTTCCTGCTTCGTTTGAAATAATAACAAACATGAACTAACTACACGAGAAGCAGAAATCTAACGATGCAGATATAAAACGACCTGACGCTGATTAAATGTTAGAACTTCTTCTCTCCGTCAAGTGAGGAAGAGGAAGGTGGTGGTTTTCTTCAACATTAATGAAAAGATGTCAAAGTGTGGAAGCAGCATAGTAACAAGAGAGACACAGAGAGAGAGAGAGAGAGA